GAAAAATGTCTTATAACATAATAGGGAAGAGTTAAAATATAAGCAATAAAATAATGTACTGTAAAGTGTTTTAACAATATTAAACTGTGCACCTGGAGAATAAATAACCAATATCCAGCTATTGGCATTTTTACAGTAATAGATATTTTAAAATACTGTAGCAGCAACATCAGAGATGTGCAAAATGACAGTAGCATGTTATGTTTATGTATTTACATTTGCCGGTAGTTGTCACCTTCATTATACTCTGTATTCTCATGAGTGTAGTCTTTGTTCACTTTACAATAAAAAAAGAATAAATATTACAAAGAAATAGTTTTGAAAAGGGTGGTAATTTTTCTTTTCCTGCTTTGTGTGTCAATTGTCACGGTTGCTAAGCGACAGAGCATACAATGGAGAAAGCCATGGAAGGCTAGACCTGTTTGAATTTAAAGCCAAAACTTTTCCGGGTCTCCTTATTTTCACGGACTTCGAAGGATCCAGTCCAGGTAGACGAATAACTCCTTGGAAGACACAGTCCATGAATTTGAACACAGCCACTGTTTGCTGGGTCCTCATCGTTTCCTGGCTCCTCGTGTGTGTTTTTCCCTGATGTCTCCCTGGTTTTCTTCATTTGTTCTTTTAGGATTTTTGCTTCAGTTGCCCTTTTTCTTTTATCAAAACTACACAATACCACTTCAGCTTCCGTCTCTGAAATTGGGTCCTCTCAAAACTTCATCCAGCCTGACAATCTTAGACTTGAATGGCTTTGTTCTAATCTTCATACTTTTGACCTTGTGCTGACATGGCATTTAATGTGAGGAAATAACAGTATTTCCATTACAACCCTGTCCTCTCTGATCACTTTTTAATAAACTTCAAAGTTACTTCAAGAAAGTTCTCCTCCCCTAAAAGAACATTTTACTTTGGCAGATCATTATCAAACAATGCAGTTGTAAATTTCATAAATCTATTCCACTGTCTCTTTCGTTTGTGTCACTGAGCAGTGCTGTACAGGGCAGCAGTTTAGTTTATTCCTCTTCAGAGGTTGATAATTAAGGAAAACCTAGAAATAGAATAGAAAGTCGGCTTCCTGGTTTAATGCAGAGCTGGGCACTTGCCAGGAAACTGGAGAGATAATGATCTTTTAACACCAACACCATCATGAATATTGGCCAACTCATTTTCCCTAATGTCCACCTATTTTAGTCAGTGCAAAAAATTACTCCAGCACAAAACCAGAAATACTTTGGAATCATGGAGGATGACACGGAACGCACTAGTTGTTATGGTTTCTTTTATTTTCAAAAAGTAATGACACAATTATGGGGATGACTAATATGCATATTTGTTTCAGACATTCAACTGTCCTATTAGTCATAATTATTAAAGTTAACTATTCATACTAAATCATTCAAAATCATGAATTCTTCATACAAACTTGAAGCCATTACCTCTTTTTATATTTGGCTTATCAAGTGAAGATCTATATCCTTTGAAAACCACAGAAAAATTGTTTATGAGTTTAATAACTGCTAAACATTTTGTAAAATGGACGGGGCCGCCTTTTACAGCTGCATTTTGTGTCTCTGCTTTTGTCTCCTTGAACCCCAGTCGGCCTCAGCAGATGGCCGCTCACACTGAGCCTGGTTCTACTGGAGGTTTCTTCCTGTTAAAAGGGAGTTTTTCCTCTCCACTGTCGCTACAAGCATACTTAATATGAGGGCTTGCAGTCAATGAGTCGATGCAATCAACTGGTTTTCCTTAGATAGAAAACTTTGTATCAATTTGACTGTATGATCTGGTTGAACTGTAAAGTGCCTTGAGATGACGTGTTGTGAATTTGGCGCTATATAAATAAACTGAATTGAATTGAATTAAAATTTGGTAATTAAACATCATATCCACAGTTATAAAGCCAATCTCTCAAGGCATACGAAGAGTCCAAAGCATATTGTTGGGCCGTAAACCATAATATCAGTTTCAGACATTGAGGACCAATAATTATGCTGATATTTAAATGGCCATTGAGGACAGAGCAACTGTCTCGTTAGCCCCATTTACACTACCCTTTTGAAACTGTGTCGAGAACGGTCCGAGAAGTGTACTTTTTGAGTGTAAAAGGCACGCACAACTGAAACGGACCTCGGCAAGGCCGCGCTAACATGGTACTAGTTCATCAGTAGGGCTCAGCGCAGTTCAGTTCTGGCTAGGTTCTCAGATAACAACAGTGCATGAGCAGACCACGTCATCTCCTTACAGTCAGCTTCCATAATCATGAAATTTCGTATTCATAAAAATACCAGCTTCCCTACCATACCACAGAAGTTACACTGATGATTCTGCTTAGCAGTGTGACGAGCCTCAACGTCCGTTGTCGTTTCCTGTGTCTGTAAACCCCGATTAGACTATTGTTTGTCATATTCACTTCCCAAAAGCCGACTGTCAAGTAAATTCACCAAAGGATGCCTCTTCATCTGGCTCTCTGCAAACTTCCTAAATGTTACAGGCGCCACCATGTTAATTTGCTTGTTTACCTCTAGAGAGCAGAAGTACTGTAGATCTGTCACTAGGCATCACTAGGAGGCGAAGAACCGTGCAAGTGTGGTGTGTAAACAGTTGTAAGGAACCAAGCTCGGGACAGATCAGTTTTCAGAGGGTATTTTAAATGGGGCTTATATTTCTTTTTTTCCATGAGTTTCTGAGAGGCTCATATTGAAGCCATCGTTGAAGCCACCATCATGGCCCCATGCCCATAACTCCAGACTGACTAAGGCTAAGTGGAATCTCTTGGCTGACATCAGAAACAAAGTGCTGAAAAAAAGACTAAAGGGCAGATTATACTTCTGCAACCGCACACATCAAATGTCGCCTGGGTCTGGTCACAAACCAGTATTGCTGGTATGCTTCAGCACTGTCGGTCTGAAATTTCTAGGGATGCACAGCAGTTTCCTATTCCAAAACTCACAAGAACTTTGGTGGAGCCGGCGGGAGTCTTCCAAAACAACAATGGCATATCTGCGAGATATCACGGTCACGGAGATGGATCTAGAGTTGCTAGACATCGTACAAGATATATTGATTTATATTATTTATCTGAGGCATCATACATGTGGTTGTACTTCCGAACCTCCTCGATTATCCTTTCGACGTAGTTGTCCATTGTTCCTCGGTTTTAAAAAAGGTGCGCCCCAGCACCGAATCGAGAAGGACGACCACACAGACAGCCGGGAAGGCATACCAAGGACCAATCATACCAAGGACCAATCGCAGCTGCTTTTTGTCTGCGCACTTCTACTTGAGCTCTGCGTGAGTTTGCGACGGTTCAACGCGTAGTCAGGATATTTTTTTTTAGGTGCGCCCCGACGGTTGCAGAACCTCTGCGTGGGGGGCGTGGTCGCGTACAGAGACAGATTTGACGGTTGCAGAGGCTTTGAGTCAGAAGCATAAATTGGCCTTAAGCTGCTGAGAAAACTCAAGCTTTCCACATGGAGATCAGCAGAGGTTTACAGGTCTGGCACAGTAAGGGACAGATTCTCCAGTTAAGTAATCTGTCTTTTTGATGATATTTTATCATTTCATGTGTTTACTCTTGAGTAAAGACTAAGCTAACACGATTGATTGCATGGTAGGCTATCCTAACATGTTTGAGCTGTTGTTTAGAAAGCTAAAAGAAACTTTATTTTACTAAAGGTTTAAGCGCTAATATAACTTTTTCTCAAATGCTGAGTAACAAATATATCGCCAAAAGCCATTTAATAGGATTCCCCCTATTTGCTTGCTACTTGCTCAATCAATGGATAAGAATCAATTAACAAAAAGTTATTTATTATTGTGTTATCAAATCCTTTAATAAAACATTATTTAATGCATATGTTGGAAACTTTCCTATTGCTCTTAATTAGTTAAAAGCTAATTTGATAACTTTCCAAATTTCTCAAGATAAAGTTTGGTTCTCAAACATAAAATCCATGGTAAACGATGATGTCATTGCATTATTTAATTGATAATGGTATTCCGCCATGTTTCCTTTCTTTGTACATAGTTGCTTAGTTTAGTTGGGTTTCACTAGTTTTAGTTAAAGCTACAGTGTGTAACTTTTAGCGACATCTAGCGGTCAGACTGCAGCAACATGAACATC